TACTATAAGAAAAATATGCAGAATACTTAAAAACTAGATATTTTAATTAGATATTATTAATACACCTTCCTACATGCACAAATCTGGGGACTCAGAGAATGTTGAAATGAAAACAGAATTTTAAAATGTGTTTATCAATCTCCCAAAATTTTATTTTAAAAATTGACCATATCTTAGATGTTTTTCATTAGGAAAAACTTGTAAATGTACTTGTCAAAATAACTGAGTGAAATATGAATATATACAATTAAAAACACTCATGTTAGAATACAATTAGATTTTGTAGAAGGGAATTTGCATTATTTTCAATTTATCATACTAAAATGCTACCCCAATATATATCATTAGTATATTATTTTTACATTGATGATTTTATATTCCTTTAGCATATATATTTTTTAAGTTTTTCAAAGTTAATTTTTTAGTTCTAATGAGATACATATAAAATTTATCAATCATTTTTGTGTGTTCTTCAGTGTCATTAAGTAATTTACATTATTGTATAACCAACACCACCATTATCTCTACAGATCTTTTCATCTCACAAAACTGAAACTCTGCCCCCATTGAAAAGTGACTTTCCATCTCTCTCCCCGACATCCTTGTCAACCATCATTCTACTTTCTGTGATTCTTATTAGGCTAAGTGTCTCGTGTAAGTGGAATTGTATAGTACTTGCCTTTTGCTAAGACTGGCGTATTTCTCTGAGCATAATGTCCTCAAGGTTTATCCACATTGTAGCATAGGTAAGGGTATCCTTTTTAAGGCAGATTAATATTCTATTATATGTATGTACCACATTTTGCCATGCAGTCAGAGATCAGTGGACAATTTGGGTTGATTCCATGTTTTTGCTCTTTTGACTTTTTCTTTTTGTTGGATTCTCACCCATTGCATTCAGTTTCTTGTCATGCCTGATGGATTCTGCTGGGCTTCCTGGTATCTTCATTGTCTTTTCCTAGGATATAATTTAAAATTTTTGGTTTGGTGTTCATGAAGTTTCCTCGGGTGTTTTTGTCATGAAAGTATCTTATTTCTCCATCAATTTTGAAAGATAGTTTTGCAGAGTACATCAGTCTGTGTCGGAAATTGTTTTCCTTTAGGGCTTGAAATACGCCGCTCTAGGCTCTTCTTGCCTTGAGGGTTTGTGTTGAGAAGACTGCTGTGATTCTGATGGGCTTCCTTTGTATATGATTTCTTTTCTCTAACTGCTTGCAATATTTTGTTCTTCTGCTGGGTTTCTAGAATTTTAACTATTATATGCCTAGGTGTAGATTTGTTTGATCATGGCTAGTTGGAGTCCTATAAGCCTCACATATCTGTATGTTAAGTTCTTTTCCCTTTTGGGAAGTTTTCTGCCATTACTTCTGTGAAGTTTTTTTTGTTGTTGTTTTTGGGGTTTGTTTTTTTTTTATGTCATCTTCACTCTCTCCTGTTTTCTTCAGTGACTCTGATCAATCTTATGTTATTCTTCTTTGCATCATCTAGCAGCTGCTGGATTGATTTCTCATGGTCCCTTACTATTTTTAAGAAATTTTTTATTTTCCTGGTCACTAATTGCAGTCCTGTCTTCTATATCTGGAATTGTGTCGTCACATTGGCTCATTCTGGTGTGTAAACTTTCAATGGAGTTTTTAATCTCCTGTTTGCATCTGTTTTAGGGATTCCATTTGTTTCCTCTGCTGGGATTCCATCATGTTCCTCAGCTCTTCTATTTTTTTTTTATCTGTGTCCACTCTAGATTATTAATCATCTTGCATTATAGATCTCTGTTGTTGTCTGAGAAATTATTTCTGACTTCATTTTTTCCAGATCCTCTTTTGTTGCTAGTTCAGGGAGTCCAAGTGGTTGAGTATCAGATTGTTCCATCTCATTGCCCTTTGGGGTTGCCTTAGGTGAACTGGAAGTCTGGTTTTGAGACTTGTATGTCTTCTCATTTCAACATATGCAGCCTTTGTTGAGGTGACTTTTTATTCACCCAGTTATCTTCAATTCTCAGCAAGCCAAGTGGCCTTTTCTCTGCTGCTCACCCATACACTAATTTCTAGGTTTAGAATGGTGGCCTTCTGGATCCCTGTGTTACCCTGTTTCCTAGTGGGGTTCTGGCTGGTGCCTGTGCACACTTGGGGTTGTATCTGAGTGTGCCTCTGGCTGGGACCTGTCCCCCTGTGTAGCTGTGATCTGGGAGGACCTTTGGCTGGAGGCTGTACACCCGAGTTGCTAGTGTCTGAGCAGACTTCTGGCTGGAGTGTGTATGCACTTTCCAATGGAATCTGGGCAGGCCTCTGGCTGTTGCTTATGCACCTGTGCAGCTTTTTCAGAGCAGGACCCTGGCTGTAACCTGTGCACCCCCATGCAGCTCTAGTCCACACGGGCTTTGCGCTGAGATCTGCAAGCATTTACTGATGGAATCGGTTTTGTTTCATTTTTTCAGACTGGGTCTGGCTGTATTTTCATCCTAACCTTGAACTCACTGGGTAGCCCAGACTGGCCTCAAACTCAAATCAGTGCTCCTCCCTCAGCCTCCTGAGTGCTAGAACTATAGGTGTACACCACCTAACTCAGCTCTACATAAATTTTAAGATCAGTTTTTCAACTTCTAGGTGGAAAAAGAGAGCTGGAATTTTAATAAGAATTGCTTCGACTCTGTAAATAAATTTAGCCATACTAACATAACCAACTCTTCTAATCCATGCATTTGAGATTTCTTATCATTTATTTAGACTTACTAGAGCTTTAATTTCAACATTGCTTTTAATTGAGTCTTGCACTTCTTTGTTAAATGTTTTCTAACAATTATATTCTTTTAAATTATATCACAGTTGAAATTGTTTTATTGTTTTCATCTTTGGATTATCCCTCATGGTCTAGAAATACAGTTGATTTCTGGATATTAATCTTATATCCTATAACCTTTCTGAATGTGTCTATTGGTTCTAATAAGGGGATATTGTGTGTGTGTATTCCTTAGGATTTTACTTATTGAGATTATGTCAATTATGAGTAGAGATAACTTTATTGTTTTCTTTTAAGTCTGGGCATTTTACCAATATAACACTGACTTGTATTACTGTAATTTAATAATAGGTCCCATTAAATGTTGGGCTAAGTCTTTTCTCCTTGCTTTTTTTCCTCAAAAATGCTTTGACTATTCTGAACTCTATTTCTATGTATCTTTTAGAGTCAGTTTATTAAACTCCATTAAAATTCCTTTGGGCTTATAAAATTGCATTGTATTGAATCTGTATATTAACTCTGGAGATAATTTGCGTATTTATGATACTTGGTCTTCCTAACTATGTACACAATATGTTTCTTCATGAATTTAGATCATTTTATAATGGAATATTTTCCTTAATTATGCTTTCTTGGATTTTAACTGATGATATATAGAAATAAAACTTTCTTATGTTAATCTTATATCCTCCAATTTGCTAACCTCACTTGATATGCTAACAGACTGGATGTTGCTTAGAAGAAAAAAGGAGAGTAAAAGATGACTCCAGTTTTTTGGTTTAAGCAAGTGGAAGAAGAGATTTTTTTTTATTAATAATGATTTTGAAGAAGTTGAATTACAATTTTGTATAGTATATTCTTTTTATTGAGTTTATTGGTACTTTTTCAGTATACAATACAGTTACATTCATTATTGGGATCTTGTACCTTTACATGACAGATCTTGGTTCTCATTTTTTCCCCCATACCCCTGCCCTCCCTTTACCCCCTCCACCTTCCCCTATTTACAAAGACTTTGTTTCCATCTTTTCCTTTTCTCATATTTTTTCTTTTCCCTTATTTCCTTACCCCAACCCTTCCCACTTCCCCTACACCTTTAGTCCTTTTCTTCCTAGTATATTCTTTATAAGGCCTTTGAAATTTGTTTTGAGTCTTAGTACTTGGAAATGATTGCATTTCTCCCAAGAACTCCTTTTATCTTTCTTTCTTTGTAACTAATGGGGACTTCAGGTTATATGAATGATTGTATTAGCTGCTTGGAAACTAAGAGCTATATTTGTGTCCCATGTTGCAAGGATATAGATATAAAGCATTTTTTTTAGTAGTTTTATTGACCTCCTGTGGAGTTTTTTTCCTTATTTTATATTTTCTCACTATTTCTGCTTTTTTCTCTTATATGTTACATATCTGTTTATACCTCCTTAAAACAGGCAGTGTTTTAATAAATATAAATTGCTTGCATTGTATGCCATGAGAAATGAAATGTGAAGTAGAGTATTAATTTTTAAAAATTAAATACACGTGTAAATGCACACACATTTTTTTCACTACCAGCAAGTTCCTATAACTGGATCATCCATTCAACTCTGTTCAGTGAACAGTACTTTGTACCAAGTGCTGTTCTTGGCCCCTGATACATCAGTGAACTCTACCATGCATTCCAGTAGAGCAGATGCTAACAAAACAACAGCACATGTAGTAGATTAGTGATTTAGATAGCATATCAGAAAGGCAAGCAAGATAAGGGAGATTACAGGTAAAGGAAGTGTGGGACTTGCAGCATTACATAGAAGTGTCTCAATGAACCACACTGAGAAAATGCCACTGGGGCAGGAACTTTAAGGAGGTGTGGGTATAGATTATGTGGCTGTTGGCAGGAAGAACATTACATCCGAAAGAAGAGCAAGCAAAGGCCCTTAGCTAGGAGTGTGCTTATCAGGCTTGGTGGATAGGTATGAGACCAGACTGGCAAGGAAGGAGTGGGAATGGTGAGAAATGAGATCAGAGAAGTGTTGGGGTTGGGGAGAAATTGCATACGCAGTAGTGGCACACGTATGGTATGCGTGCCCCAGCGGGCTGTTGGTATCACTGACAGTTCTAAAGATTTGCCACTACTGGCAGAGGGGCTTATCCACCATCTATGGGACAGTGCCGTGACAGTTTCGAGCAAAAAAGACGCATAATTTCACTGGCATTTTAAAAGGATCACTCTACTCATTATGCATAGCTTTCAAAGGAGTTAATAATTATTTCTGCAATTTTAGGTATATTACAGCTAATACTGACACAGAAGAACAGAGTTTTTCAGTGCCTAAGGCATTTAACGCACATATAGAGGAATTAAAGTTAGACATACTTCTTCAGAAGGCAGATCATTTACGCATGACTCAGTCTGGCAAAATGGAGAGTTTTGAACTACTGTGTGAGCACAAAGAAAAGGTAAGAGCTATGTGACTAGAGCATGTTAATGTAGTTTTGATTTCAATTAATCTATTGTCCCATTCACATTATGACTGTACTAATGGCATCATGTTCATATAACCTAAGTGACAATGTGAAATTTTTCTGTAAAATGGCTAAAACTTTTAAAAAATAAATATGAGTTAATTAGACTCACTTAAAGTAATAAAAATAGGAACCAGGCTGTAACTTTACAGATTTACCTTTATCTGATTTTTTATTATTTTGTATAATTAAGACTTACTTTATAACCGATAAAGAAGACACTAGGCCAAGGCATATAGTGCATCTTCTGTGGGGAGCAAAAAAAAAAAAAGGTATTTTAAATTTTCTGTATTATTATAAGTATAATAGCTATCAGGATGTAAAGCAGTTTGTACCAGTGGTCATTTTGTAGTGTTTAATGTTGGATCTGCATTGAAAAGCCATTTACACTTACCAGCACAACTTTAAAAAGGGAATGAGATGTATACAATATCCCAAGAATAAATAAGCCTCTTTCTTTCCCAGGTGTAATTTAAATTAACATTTGTTTTAGAATTTAGCCACGCCAAACACATTGCCTAAACCCTAAGTATCCTGAGCGGATCAATACATACTGTATAAACGTACCAAAGCATCACATGGTAACCCATAAAGATATGCAATTGTTGCTTACTGATAAAATTTTTAAAAACTTAAAAATGCCCACCCAAAGTTTTAAAAACATAGTGGAAGACAATTATAGTCTTGCTGACTACACATTACCGACTTAATCTCATGTGTAATTCTATCTTTTTAGTTTAAGGATGAAATTGAATTTATATGGCGGTTTGCTCGAGCTTACGGAGACATGTTTGAGCTGTCTACAGATACACGGGAGAAGAAACACTATGCTAATATCGGTAAGTATTTTGCCAAGATATATTATTCTCAAGTGGTAATTCCAGAAAACTACTGCTGGAGTTTTAGGATGAAAGCCTAGCTCAGGGAGTCTCCACAGACCAGGCTGTATCCCAAAATGCCAGTCAGAGGGAGGAGACGAGCAGTGGTGAAGGACAGTAAAGGAGCTTTAATCAGCATTGCCGTACCAGGAAGGACATATAAACAGGTTCAACATCTGCCTTTGAGGAACTAACAAACTGTGAAGTTCCATAGGAAATGTGAACAAAAAAATGCAAGGGTTGAGGGTTTGAAACTGTAGCTGGGGGATTTGCATAGCTGACAAGGTAGGTGCCTTAGTTACAGTACTTTCTCATTGCTGCGGCAAAATTCCTGATACCCACAAGTTGAAGGAGGCAAAGTTTATTTTAGCTCAGTTTGTAGAGCTTTCAGTCCATAGTTTTCTGGTTCCAAGGCATGGTGGCATGGCGGCATGGCAGAGAAGAAACAGTTCATAGCATAAAGTCAGGAGGTAGCAAAACAGAGAGCCTTCCTTTCTCTTTTTATTCCATTAAGGCTACAAGCCCATTGGGTGGTGCCACCCACACCCAGTGTGGACCCATTACCCACACCCACACCATGGGTTTACCCATGCTATACAAATCAGAGGAGTAATCCAGAGGACTAAACCATCAGCAGACTAACCCACCCATATCGTGGTTTATACCTGCTAAACCAATCAGAGGACTAATCCATTTATTACACACTCATAATCCAATATTGCACACCCATGATGCAGCCACCTCCCAAAAGCCTCAACTATGAGCACATGAGGCTTTGGGGGGACATTTAGATATAAGCCATAACAGTAGAAAATCATGGTCAGGCCATTGTCTGGTTGATCATTATCTCAGGACTGGTTCTTGGAGATGACTTTGGAGAAGTCCGTATGACTTGAAGGGAGGAGGCAATCCAGTTCCCGTCAGATGATTGCTCTTATTTTGGGGCCCAGCTTCAGTTCTTTTACAAGGTGATCTGTGTGTGAGGTTCTGCTTTTCCTGGAATCCTAGGTTACTGTAAATTTAGAACAATGACTGGAGACTAAGCTAGTGCTCCAGGAATTCTGAAACAGGATATTGTAAAAGCTGGCAATTGAATGTCCCTGCAAATCTTGAAAATACTTTACTCTTATGTTGGTGTCCTAGTGTTGAAGAAAGATGAGATATGTTAGATAAAATCAGGATTAATAAACCTGTAGTAAGTTTTTAGATAGATACTCCTGAAGTGATTACCTACATACATACAGAGCTGAGCAGAGATCAAGTTTTAACATATTGAAGAAGACAGATATAAAAATAAATGTAGCTATGCCAAGCTCCATCCTGTTTTTTTGTAACCTATTGGACAGGTGGAAGCCTAGCATCTAAGTCCCTGTTATAAATCCCCTACTGTCTAGACTGTTCCTTGGTCCGGAAAAATTAGAATGCTAGACAACCTGACTTTGCAAGTTTTCTGGTCATCTGGTAAACTATTGCAAAAGAAGGGAATGAAATGAGAATTGATTTCCTAGAGTGCCTGGTCACACCTAGAGTTCTGTTTAAAAGAACAATTGTCTTTTCCTTCTAATTGTCTATGTATGATGTTTCTTTTACCCTGGTAATAGCACATTTGGTTATATTTCTCCACTGAGTGTTTAAGACCCAATAGGTAGGCCCTATGTGGGAGAAAAGTTAGCCTTTTTTATTGCTACTATTAGGGTCAGTCAGTGTTCTTCATAAAGGTTACTATTGGTGCCTTGTTAGTAACCTCTTGGCTTCTTTAGTTTTTTTCGCACTATACACTATGTCATTTGTCAAGATAGATTTGTTCTTGCTGACCAGGTGACTTTCCTTGGAAGTGTTGGGGACATGCCCCTCCCAGTTACTCCCCTCTTTGTAGAATGTAACTGCTTAGCTCCTACTCTCTGAGGTTTCCACAATCCCCCTGACTCAGAAACTAGGTGACTCATGAGAGTTGCAAGGCCCCTTTTTAGGGACCCCTGTTATCCCCTGGGTGCTGAATGACCTTGGAAAGTCAGGGCCAAATTTTTACCTATCCTCTTAGCCCTTTTATCTCCCTTGCTTTCACCCTCCACATCTTAATTATTAAACATCAAAAAGGCCATTTCTACCAGTTGTGAAGTAGAAGTAGTGGGTTTTGATGTTCTCTGTGGTCAAAGATATCTTAGGACTTTTGGAGTGGTTTACTTTGATGAATTTTGAATTAAGTTTTTCCCAATGCTGTTTTTAGAACTGAATTTGTTAGAGGATTGTCTGTTGGCTAAAGCAAGTGTCCATGCTGGGGTATACTTTGGTTCAAATGTGTTGCTTATAAGGATTCCTTCTCTGAGCAGCACCAGTGGGCTGGATATTCCCTGTTTATGTGTATTTTAAAGCTACAAACGCCAAAGGGTATAAAGTAGCTCAAGGTTATAGTGACCATTCCCTTATGTGGACCTCCAGAAACAAGAAACAAGAAAGAACAATGTCCAGTGTACGCTATCAGAAACAATTTACCAGGGGTTTTAATCTAAATGCTTGTAAATTCTAAAGCTCATTTTTCCGCTTCACCAGTGTAGAAAGCAGCCAGTAGTGGCCTGAGTTTAGCAGAAGCACAGGACCTATTCAAACTTTCCTCTCTATCTAGGGTAATCTATCTGTGAGTGACTACTATAACATCCAAGTTGTGTGCTTTCTCCTAGCTGATTTATCAGCTTTGTTACCAGTGTTTGTTACCAGGAGCAAATGCCCCTGCTCTGGAAGTACCAATAGGTCAGACTTAGCCCGATTGATCCCACACCAGCAATCAAGATAAAATGAGCAGGGGCCGGGATTTAGCTCAGTGGTTCCACCACCTGCCTTGCAAGCTCAAGGACCTGAGTTTGATCCCTGGTACAAAAAAAAAAAAAAAAAAAAAAAAAAAAAAATGATGAGCAGTGGGCAAAGGACAAGAAAGTAATTTTAATCATCATGACCATACAGGAAGGTCAGATAAAGAGATTTAAGATAGATCTTTGAGGAGCTATGAGAAACTCTGAGGCTTTATAGAGTATACAGGCGAGGGTTGGAGATTTGCATAGTTAAAGATTTACCTAGCTGACAAAGTAGGTAATCCTGCTCAAGCCATCATCCAGCTGATTATTATCTCAGGACTGGTTCTTTGATGTGGCTCTGGAGAAATCTTTATGGCTTGAGGGGGCAACCTCATTCCCATGACATGATTGCTCTTGTTTAGGGGGCCAGCCTCATTTCTGTCATGGAGTGATCTATCTGTGAGGCTGTACTTTTCCTGGAAGCCTAGGTGACTAAAATGTTAGGACAATGAGTGGAAACTTCTAGGCATCACCATAAGAGACCTTTAACAGGACATTGTTAAAAGCTGGCAATTGAATGTCCCTGGAAATCTTGAAAATACATTATTACTGTTGCCTTGGTGCCTCAGTCCTGAAGGAGGCTGAGATAGATTAGGTAAATTCAGAGCTAATAAACCCTGATTGATCAGTTTTTAAACAGATGCTCCTTAAGTGATTAGCATGCATATGTGCAGAGAGGATCAAGGATCTGACCTTTAGTTTTAAGGTAATAAAGAAGACAGATATAAAAATGAAGGCACAGATTTTAGTTAACCATTGAGCATCTTGAGGCCTAGCTTCTAAGTCTCTGTTATAAAACCACTAGTAAATTTTAAGTAAACCTAAATTTATCTTATTTTAAACTAATACATTGAATCTATTTTAATATAGCCTTGTACCAAAAAATATACAGCCTCAGAGCAGAGAGGTTTTAGGGCTAAAGTATATATTCTTTTAAAATACAGTATCCGAATGGGCCAGGGATTTAGCTCAGCGGTTCAGTGGCCTGCCTTGCAAGCACAAGGACCTGAGTTCAATCCCCCGTACCAAAAAAAAAAAAAAAAAAAAAAAA